ATAGCACGTTTAAAAAAGAAATTCCTAGCAAAAGGAGTTCGGTGAACAATTGGCTTTGCTGTATATGCCATCCACAATGCTTCTCCAAGGCAAGTGAGGATTTGGGCTCCAACCAGGAAAACACAAACTGCTGTCTTATTCATTGCAGGAACTAAACTTCTAAAATGCAGCAGTTTGTAAAACAAGGAACAGAAGAGGGAAGCCAGAGATGAACCCTTTTTAATGAGAATTAAAATGAAGTTCCTAAACTCCTATGGGAGGAGGCTGTGGCCCTGGAGCCCACAGTCAGGAGTTACTGATCATTAACTGGAGCTTGGGAGAAGGGTGGAGAATACTAGGCTTTTCTCCTACTCCAGTTCATGATTCTAATGGGTCAGATGCAGCTGGGAGCTGGTGTATAAGGAAGCCACTGAAATGCATCTTTGGCTATACAAACTAGAGGAAGACCATGTGTATGGCATGTGTATGGCCTAGGATTCTGAACCCTAAGAAATGGTTATTTGGGGGGAATGGGAGGTAGATGTCCACAGTACATTGTGAACTGGAAAAACATTGTGCACCCTATGGATCCATTTGGATAAAAATGTATGTATTTAGTAAAGTGAAAGGATAAATGATGTTTATCAAAATAGTTAACAGTGGTTTTGTCAACATACTGGCATGATTGTTGATTTTACTTAACCACCCTCCCCCTTGTTTTGTATGTGTTTATTTTCCACACTAAAGATTACCTTTGAAAAGGACATTAGGAGATGAGGGGGTAACTGACCCCAGAACAGTCTGTATGGGCTCCCAAAGCCTCCTTCTGTCAAAGCCAATGTTTTTGGTTCAGCCTCACAAAGGATTTCAAAACAATGTTTACATGGTTTGATGTTGACAGTTTATTTATACCATTAACACAGTTGTTTGCAGTACCTTCCATCAAAGGAAAACTTGGTGGATTAACCATTAAAATCCAGTCACTCTTATGTAAGAAGAGTCATTATGCATCTCTACCCATGTCTTGCACTGATGTTAAGAGTTTCACAATTTTTCTGAATGTAGCTCCCTTTATTTATTTGTTTATTTATTTTTACAAACATTGCCTGCCCATTTGTTGATTTACCAATTGAGTGAATTGGCTTTTAGAGACTAGTTTAGTCAGGTAGTTTAAGCTGACTTCAGATTCTCAAGGTAGCCAAGAATGACTGAAAAGGAGCTGCCAACCCTGGCAGATTTGCCTTTTTAAATGAAGAAAGTTTGTAGCTCTGTAACTTGGGTTGTCTTTTTTCTTTCATTTGGAATGTTCAAAGTCTTTGTGGCTTATCTAGCTAACCTTCTATTTATCCATTTGATGGTTGCTAGATTTGCTTATACTATAATTTCAGTGATTTTTCATGTCAATCACAAGAGCTGTACTGCATAGGATATGACAAATATTTGTGCTCATTGCTTTGAAATCTCAAGCTGGCAGGCACCACACTCTAAATACAGACCAGGATTAATTGAGCAATAAATGGAGAGTGCACAGTAAGCCCTCTTATGAATTCTTCAACACTGCTGTTGTAGAAGAACCAGCTGAAGGATTTAATTTTAGGTAGGCAGAAACTTGGGAAATACTGGGAAATGTCCACATTTTAAACCACAGTGGTAGGACAACTACCATTTTATGCTATCAAAGAAATCCAAATGTTTATAAAATACTTTCTATGCTTCTATTTCAAGGATTTTGATATCATTGTTTATATTTTCAAGAAATTATTTGGGTGTTTCTACTGGTTCTAGAATCAAGTGGTTTGAGTTAGTTGTCTTCCATTGCTGTAACAAACTCCCTAAACTAAACATATTGGAAGAGGAAAAATTTTTTATGATTTATTTATTTCTTTAAGTTTCATTCTACATTCCAACCCCAGTTCTCCCTTCCTTCTCTCCTACTTCCCCCTCCCACCTTCCCCTTGGCCCTTCTCTTCCCCCCAGCACCTCCCACTCTTCCCCCCACTCCTCCCCACAAATAAGGGATTCCATGAGGAGTCAACAAAGTCTGGCACATTAAGTTGGAGCAGAACCAAGGCCCTCTCCCATGCATTAAGGCTGAATATTGCATCACACTTAGGGGATGGGCTCCAACAACCTTTTATCTCAGCTCAAGTTTTCAAAGAGTTCAGTCCAAGGTGAGATACTGCCATTTCTTTGGACTTGAAAGAATATAGAATGCCTTGGTGAGGAGAGTGTGTGGCAGAAGAGGGTGCTTGTTTCCATGCACACTCGCCTTATCACTTAGTTAATCCTGACCCCTCTTCCACTCTATCTTTGCTCTTTAGGTACCATAAGACAAGCATCTTCTTTCATGTAAGATAAAGTTCCCCAGGGCAGGCACCCAAGGACCTACTCCCTACAACAAGGTCCTACCTCCTATTTTCATCACCTTTCAGAAACCCATCAAATTATGAACCCATCAGTTAAGTCAGTGCCCTCATGATACAATCATATCCCAAAGACACCACCTCAGAAAATATGTGCATTCGAGATCAAGTATTCAATACATGCACCATTGCAAGACATTTCAGTTGCAAACCATAACACATCCCCAACCCTAATAAATTTGGGCATATTTAATATTTAGTCAGGCTGTGCTAGTTTTCATTAGATTAGAAAATTAAGGGCATGGCCAGTGAGTTGGCTCAGAGGGCAAAGGCAGTTGCTATCAAGACTAAGGACTAGACATGGATTTCCAAAATCCACCTGGTGAAAGGAGAGAGAACTGATTCCCTTTAACCTCCATACTTCATGAAGAGGCAGCTCAGACCCCAACACACAAGACAATTAAATCAATAAATGTGAACATTTAAAAAAAGAAGTGTCAGGACAACGATAATGATTTAAAAAGATCACACTAAAAGTGAAAAGAAGTAATGATTTACTTAAGACTACTGGAGTAGCTGTCTGTTTCAGGACAATGGTGGCCAAAGAAAAATACCTATTGTGAGCAATAGCAGAACCTAGAGCAGACTTAAGGAAGACAGGAGACTTTTGATGGAAAAGAGAGGCAGATGTGCTTAACTGGAAGAAATATTGGTTAACTTTTAGTTGTGATCACACTTTGGTGGTGTCTATGTGAAGCAAATGTTTTGGCTCCAAACTTGTTTCTTCCCCTTTTATGTTTTCTTAGTTTTTTTTTTTCCTACCAACCTGAAGACAGGAGGATAAGACACATACTTTCTGACTGTCTATGAAGGTCAATGGGAACACTGCCGGGGTGTGAGCCATGTGCTAGAGAATGTATTATATTTCAGGTGAAAAAAAGAACACTAGGAGGGAATAGTCCTAGTGTACCATGTAATAAAAAATCAGTTCATTTCTTTCACAAGAAAGTGATGCTACAAAGGACCTAGGACATCATTAGACAGTAAACACTTCTACTAGCACTCAAGTGAAACAACAGTGGCCACCATTTTCTCTTAAATACTCCAGTTCTTTGTTCAAATGGTGCTAATTTGTTCTTTTTGGAAAACCATACAAATAAAAATGGTGCAGAAAGGTACAATGAAGATATGATACTCCAATTTCCTGATCTTCTATCTTCCAGCACAGTGATGGGTCACTACATTGCTTTGCCTTGATTTTTGACTAAGAACCATTTCTCTAGCTCTTGGAATGCATTGTCCATGCCTCATCATTTCATTACCCTGCCTAGATCTGCAAATTTTCTATATATCATTTACCCCAGAAAACAGTGTTTCTATGTCTGAGGCATTCGGTTCAGAAGAACCAATGTGTTAGAGGCCAGAGAGATGGCTCAGCCAGTAAGGGCTGACCATGAGGATTGGATACATGGGATCAACATGGCGGAAGAGAATGACACCAGAAAGTTTCTTTCTGACCTCCACACCCATGTGCATGTATTTGTACATACAAGCACACAATCAATATTAATGCAACAATAAAGAATACAGTCTCAATCGACTGAAAATTGATAATTCCAGCAGAGTAACTGATCTTCATTTGTATCTGGGAAGCTTAATGAATAAGACATGCATCAGGGAGTATCGTGACAGAAACGACTGAAGACGAAGATGGCAATGAAAGTCTCTGCAGAAATATTTACCTAGAGAGAAAGACCCTTTAAATGCCAGCCTTGACTGGACTCCCAACTGCCTTAAGACTACACACTGGGAAGATCCCAGCAGGCTGCACCATCAGGAAGGCCACAAAGATTTAAAGAACACCCTGGCTGAGATGGTGAGTCCTGGGAAGCAGGCCTTGCTGCTTCTTCTGGGCCTTCGGTACAATCGCTTAATTGTTCCATGGCCTTCCCCTCACAGACATTTAAGAAGTCAAGTTCTTCATTTTGATTTTCCCTTCTCAATTTACAACCCCCCCACCCCAAACCACGCGGGACCTGTGGTGGAGGGAGAGTTGAGGCGGAGAAGCGTCGAGAGGTTTTAAAGCAACTTGGGAGGAACTTGGTGATGAGTTGAGCTCAGGGTGTCCAGGCGGTGGCCGGAGGGTGGGACGACCCCTCGGCCA